AACTGGGGATAATAATAGAGCTTACCTGCATACATTTGGTGTGACCGTTCAGTGAGAGCGAAGGCAGGGATTTTTGTCTTTCTCATTCTCGGCTCTATTGCCAGCACCCAGAACTATGCCTGGCACACGGAAGCCACTTAGTACCTAGAGCCGCTGCTGCCGTTGTTTCCGTTATTGGCGAGGCCTAACTGTTGTGGGGTATCGCGCCCAGGACCCAGCAGGGATGGGGTGGGAGGTGGGGCGTGCTCACACCCACGGCCACAGGCCCACGCTGGTGTGTGGAACCTGGGGGTGGGGGGCCGGGCCTGGCCCAAGGACGTGGGTGAGGCTGGGTGTGCACCCGAGTGTTTGCATGAGTGGCCACCTGTGCGTATAAGCACAAGCAGTGCTCACGGCCAGGGCTCTAGGCTCTTGGATAGTGACTTCGAAAACACAAGCCACCCCTCCCTTTGTGCGTTTCGTTTAAGAAGTGTCTCCACCCCGCTTTGTCCCACAGCTCTTAATAACGAGGCACGGAGGGAACAGGGAGGAGGCCCAGGATTGTGCCTGACCCCACTTTTTACAGAAGGGGAAACTGAGGCCCTCAGTGAGTCGACGATCAGCTGAGGACAGGGCTTCCTTTTCTGGCTGCTTCCACATGGGATTTTGTCCGTTTTCAAAGGGTCACCCCTTGAAGCTTGGCATAGGATGGGAATCCAAACGGTACTGGGTGAGGGGTTGACGTCACAGGTTCCGTATCTGTGGCCTGAACACAAGTGGCGGTGTTGCCTGCCTTGTTGCCATGGAAACAGGGCCCTGGGGGTAGGCACCTGGACCGGTATTCTCTGAACTGGCACTGGTTACGGTAGATTCAAACTGCAGGTCGAAGTGAGGGCCCTAGAGGTCCGGACCACCTCCTCCTGGCTCGGGAAGGGTTAGGGGCCACCCATCAGCACACGAGGACTCTACCAGCTCTGATCACCTGAGACTTTTATCTGGAACTCACTCTGACAGTGTAGCTCAGCCCGCCGAGCCTCGCCCCCGCAGCGCCCCCTGGGGCGCCTCCCCTCCAGGACAGCGTGGCTCAGTCGAACACTTCGTGCACCAGCCGGGAGCCACACTCCTGGTACATGGCCCGGGTTATCCAGCGGCACTGGAAGGAGCGCAGCGAGGCCACCATGGAGCCGCCTGTCCATACTGCTGTGGCGCGCCCAGGCGTGGCCACCAGGCACGGCCTCAGCGCCCCGTAGCCGTGCCTCCGGCACTGCGCCTCCAGCTCCACTGCCAGGCGCTCGGTGAAGCCAGGGAAGAGTGTGGAGCCGCCGGCCAGCACCACGGTGCCAGCCAGCCGCTTCCGGAGCGTTGCGGGGACCTTCTGCAGTGCCCGGAAGACCAGTGCGGGCAGTCCCGGCCTGGCCTGGCCTAGCACACTCGGCTGGAAGATGGGTTCTGGGCAGCGGAAGCGCTCGCTGCTGAGACGGACGGAGCACCCCTTGCCTAAGCAGAAACTGACCGGATGGTGGCGGTCAGGGTTATGAAGGTCCCCCTCAAAGTCCAGTGACACATAGCAGCAGCGTTTCTTGAGCTGTGTGATGGCCTTGCGGGGCAGGGCCCGCAGCTGTGGGTGGGGGCATGCTGCCACCAGCAGGTCCCGCAGGTAGCGTGACAGGGTGCTGCCTGCCACGTCCAGCCGGAACGTGGCCTCATGCCACGCGTGGCCTGCATAGATGGGCGTGGCGTGGCACACGCCCGCGCCTGCCTCCACGGCCAGCCCGCTGAACGCGCCAGTGGAGCAGAGCGCCAGCAACGCTGTGCTGGCCATGTGGCACGCGGGCACTGCCAAGGCCTCGAACAGCAGCTCGGCTATCCTGTCGCGGCCCGCCGGCGGCGCCGACGGCGAGTCACTCACGAGCACGGGCCACTGCTCCGGGCACACCCGCAGGCCGCCCACCAGCAGGCGCTCCCACAGCCCCTCCAGTGCCTCCCAGTCCACCACCACGCCGTGCTTGATGGGGTGCGCCCGCGCCACGCCACCCATCAGCTCGCCGCCCAGTGCCCCCGGCCGGTCCCAGCTGGGCACCAGGCTGGAGCTCTTGAGCACCAGGCGCGGCTGGTGCTCGCCCGCGAAGCCCGCCTTGATGAAGCCCGAGCCCTGGTCTATGACCACCGCCACGCGGCTCAGCGAGGGCGGCTGACGGACCCGCCTGCTTTCGGACACCGACGCCACCGTGGCTTTCCGGGCTCCGCCCCGCCCCCCGCCCCCTGCCTGAGGCTCCGCCCGCCTTTCCGCTCTTGGCTCTGGTCCCAGGCCCAAGTCCCGGCCTTTCTGGCCACGGAACTCGCGCTCTCGAGTCTTGGCTGCAGCCTCTGGTCCCGAGCTCCGGCTCTTCGCGTCAGACTGGACGTCCCTCTTCAGCTCTTGGCTCCGCCCACGGGCCCGAGGCCCCGCCCCCGGCTCAAGGGTCCGTCTCCCGCTCTCGCCGGGCTTCAGCCGCTTCAGGCCTTCTTTGCCCTCCTGTGGCACCAGACCCGCCTCTCTGAGGACTCGCCTCCGCGGCGCGGCCCACTCACTCAGCCCTGGCGGAGGTGGATGATGAGAGGGCCACATCAAATCCTAAATAAGGAGAAGCTGCCCGGAGCAGCAGAACTCTAACAATGAAGGGGCCTTGTGGCAATGTTCTCCGGACATATATCCGCCCATGGGGACCCAGGAGTCCAGCCCAGTCCTTGAGCCCCCGGCGGTCTCCTGGCACCTCTCTCCTGGCCTTAAGTCTTTACGGTTGTGGAGGTGGGACGGGGTGGTCAGAGAAGGAAGGAAAAGAACTTGGATTGGACTCATTGTGACCTCAGTCCTCAGTACCTGCTGTGCTTCCTTCCCCACAGCCCTCTCCACCCATGAAAACTCCCTGGACACATCTACTCTCCTGGGACAAGGCCAAGAGCAGTGATTTTGGCATTGGGGGATCGGGCCTCAGCTGCACAGCACAACCAATCTGATTCCCTCCCAAAACCACTTCAGATTTTCTGATGTATTCTGGCCAGATGTGCAGCTAACCACCCTCCCCCTTCCCTGCCCCAATCCAATGCTGACGAGAAAGCTCTTAATCACAGATCTACAGCCACTATGAGGGCCTCTGTGCTCAGCCCTGAGGGGCCCAGACAGTCCACATAGGGACCCTACCTTCAGGGGCTTCCATGTATGGACTCTTGTGGACCTGAATTGTGACTCGGTTCTGAAGACGACAACTCATTGTGTGCCCCTGAGCAAGTCCTAATTTCTCTCTGGGCTCAGTTTCTTCCTCCAAAAGGTAGTTCTAATCCTCACACGGGAAATTTCCTAGGCCACTTGTCTCTGCAAAGTCTGTTCTCTTTAGGACCATTTTGGTTGAAAGTAGGAGAGCTACTCAGGTGAACTTAAGCTAAAATAGGGATTTTATTACAAGGATCTTGTATATCTTTTTTTTTTTTTTTTTTGGAGATTTTATTTATTTATCTGACAGACAGTGAGAGAGGGAACACAGCAGGGGGAGAGGGAGAGGGAGAAGCAGGCTTCCCGCCGAGCAGGGAGCCCGATGCGGGACTCGATCCCAGGACCCTGGGATCATGACCTGAACAGACGCTTAACGACTGAGCCACCCAGGCGCCCCAAGGATCTTGTATGTCTTATGGATACCAAGGGCAAAGATGAAATCAGGTTTCGGGAACAGACTGGAAGTAGGTCCTGACTACAGGTTGTGTACTGTCCTCTGCATTGTTTTTTTTTTTATTCTTCCGAAGACCAGCTTAAGCCCATGCATGTTCATGTAGCAGTCTCTCACAGCTCCTGAATTACAGTCCCAGGGAAGAGGCTGATAGGACCAGCCTGGGCCAATCACGTATGGCCAGGATGTGTGGCCACAGTGAGGAACATGGTTACCATGATTGTAACCACATGGATGGTAGGAAAGGGTTTGTTCTTACAAGCATTTGAAGAGATGCTATGGGTCATGCAACCTCCAGCCTGATGCAGGGGGATATGGAAGGGACGTCGATTGTGTTGACACTAACGAAGGTGCATCTTCAGCAGAAGCTGGGCCTATGTCTTTAATAAGCTGGGACCTTCACCTCCGCTGCATCTGCCCCCTTTGGGACTTTCTGAGGCGTCACGAGTAGAAGGCTGGCTACAGGTTCGGGAGAGCTGGGGCAGCACTCAGGTCTGGAGCTGGGTTTGGGACCCAGGAGAATGAGAACAAGCAGCTGGATCTTTCTCACAGAAAGCATGCCGGCCCCTCCTGGGTGAGGGAGGGAGGTGAACCTTGCATCGGAGGGCACAATGGCGATATGGCCAGAGCAGGGGTGAGGATAGGAGTCACTCAGAAGCCCTAGAGGGAGAGACTAAGGCTGGGGCTGGGCCTGCACATGACAACAGTAAGTTTGGGCCTCAGAGAATCGGTGGGGGCTCATGAGGAGAGTGAACTGTCCTACAGCTGGCTAAGTGGTTTGGAAGAAGTCTCTGGCTGCAATGTGGGCAAAGGGATGGCACAGGGTAGGTTGGGAGACAAGTGACTGAGGTGACCTGGGGGTTACCAAGCAAAGTGGGACAGGAGTGAGGGATCAGAGGCCCACAGACCCCAGCCTCTCCACCTGGGTGCTCTCACAGGCAGACTGTGAATCCCAGGCCCAGCCCTGCTGATTGTGGGGCCTTCTCAGTTCTTTCCAGGGTGGTGGCTGTTTGCCTGGAACCCTCCCCGTGCCTAAGGACTTGTGAATGTTGGGAACATTTGGAGATGTTAGGCCTCTGTGGGAAGCAGACCCCTCCTCCTAGCTTGGCCAAGCCGGGGTTTGCCCAAACTCACCTCCCTTGGGCCTGCAGACCTTGAAGGTTCTGACCAGGGCCTGGAGTTGGGGGGAGGAGGGAAATAGCTTCCCTCCACTGTGGTTGGGTGCCCCTCCCCAGCTCGGGGTGGGGGTTCTGTCGCTTGGGTCACAAGGAGAAGGCACCAACAGTTTTGGCTCCAGGCCGTGGCCGTTGCTCTGCCATCAATACTCCCATTTCATCCCTGTCTCGCTCTGGGCCTCAGTTTCCCCCACCCAGCTCCGTGTTGCGCCGCCTCGGACAGAGCTAGCGGGCGCCAGGGTTGCTATGCGCTCTTTATTGGGCCGCGGGCCGGGGACCGCGCTGGGCGCTCAGGGCCGCGGGCGAGGGCAGCGGCGCCCCTTGCGCGGCTGCTCCTTGGCGGGGTCGGCCTCGCGGTCCACCTCGCTCTCGGTCAGCAGGCGCGCGTACAGCCGCTGCCAGCCCGGCGCCACCGTGGCTCCGCCCCCCGCTCCGGCCCCGCCCCCGGGCGCGCCCGCCGCGCAGCGCCCCTCCTCCTGCAGCCGCGCGTCCAGCAGCAGCAGGACCAAGATCTTCATCTCGCGCGCGCGTGCGCCCTCGCGCCGATCAGCGCCGTCGCCCGCTCCTCGCAGCATGGACGCCGCCGCCGGGGAGCCCACCGGGCCGCCCGTCGCGTCCTCACCTGGCCGCCCAGGCCGCGCGCCGGGGCCCGCCGCCACGTCGGCTAGCTGCTGCCGCTTGTCCAAGGGGAAAAGCAGCACGATCTTGGCCTGGGGGAAGAGCACACCGCGTCTTCTTGCTGAGGATCCTTACCCACCAGGTCCTGTCTCCTGGGACTCAGTTCCCTTCACGTTTCCAGGGGGCGGGAGTGGGTCTCCCCCTGTCCCATCGCCCAGGACCCCTGCCTTCCCTCTGGAAACCCACCCTAGGTTGACCTCCCGAGACCTTGCACCGTCGACGTATATGGGATCTTTGCCTGCCCTCCTAGCCTTGGTGCTGGGACTCTAACCCACCCTAGAAAAATAGCACATTTTATGGCTAGAAGCTGGAGAGGGGGCATAAGAGAACACCCTGTGCCCATAGCCTCTGTGGTACCAACTAGGGCTGATTCTCCTTGCTGAGCCCTCTACCCGTCTGTCAAGAGTTGGGAGAATCCCTTCCTGCCCACCCTCCTGGACTCCCAAGTCTCCTGGTTTCTTGAATCCCTGCCCTCCCTTCTGGGCTTTTAGGACCCAACCACACCCACGTAGGTTCCTGGGACCCTCATCCTCAGGAGGAGTTATCCAAGCCTTTCTATGGCCCTCGGACTTAGGCCCACAAGGCCTAGACTCCCAGCATTCCCTCTTGCCCACCTGTTCAAGTACCCCTGACTCCTACCTACCCCCAGCACCCTGGCACTCACGCTTGGCTTCTTCCGCTTGAGGTGGCTGAACTGCTGTTTCTGCCCAGCCTTGTCCATATTGGGCAGCCTCTCCTTGCAGGCCTGCTTGGGCACTTTGGTCCTCTTGTGAGAACTGTTGTTTCCCATGGCAGGGCTGGTCACCACTGGGGGCCACAGCCCATGCTGCCTCTGCCCTGCCTTCTGGCTGGGGTACCCTGCCCCTGCTCTGTCCCGTGGAGGCCACATTGTGACCTCATGGGTCAACCTCACCAGCTCCAGACTCTAAGCTCCTCCTCCCAGAACCCATAGGCACATCTTGGCTCGGTTTACTCTGTGATTTGTGGCTTTGGTTTCTCAGCTATGAAACTGGGCTAATAATCACGAATGAGGCAATGCTTGTAAGGTGCTTAGTGTTGAGTAGAGAGGAATTTTTGTGGTCTGGGTTTGAATTCTGACTCTGCCACTAACAGTTGTGTGATCTTGGCCAAGGTAATCAACTGCTCTAGGCCTCAGTCTTCTCATCTGCAAAATGGGGCAAATTATGGTTCCTGTAAGTTGCTATGAGGATTAAATGAAATTCTGCTTCGAACAGGGCCTGGCACAGAGCGGGTACTGTTATGTTAGCCAGGTGTTTTGGTTGCAAGTAACAGAGACTGACTGATCATCTTAAGTACTCAAAAGGGAATTTATTGGAAGGATTTCAGGGAGCTCAGAGCATGGCCAGGAAGTCTGGAGACCAGGCTTGGAGAGACAGGACAGAGGCCATCGGCCCAAGAGTGAGAGGACTCAGCCCCCATTCTGTTCCTGCCTCCTGGCTCATAAGCCTGGCCCAGGAGGGCTCATCTGATGGCTGAGCTGAGGCGGATCATGGACAGATGAAGCCCCCGATGGATGGTGCCTCTAGAGCCCCTCGTGGAGGGTGGGCAAGCCCCTGGCTGGACCACGGGTCCTCAGGACTCCCGTCCTGGTCTGTGTCCTGTATGGGAATTAACTCATTGAAGTTTTTCAACAGCCTCAGTGAGACGGCTGTTATCATCCCTGTTTTCTAGGTGAGGAAACTGAGGCACAAGGAGGCGAAGGTAGTTGGAGAGTCTCTGAGCATCCCACATGAGCAGCATAGGGCCTGGCATGTGTCGGCCTTGTCTTTCTGCCCACGATGGGAGGGGCTGAGTGGAGGCTAGTGATGTAGGGATCAGTGCTGGTGTGTGTATGGACAGGGACCTGGCTGGCAGGCTTTTATCTGCAGCTCCTAGGAAAAGGTAAATGTTTGTTGCGTGGATGAGTGAATGAATGAATGCATGGAGAGATTATGCGTTTAGGGCCAGCTGGTGAGTATGGGGCCACATCACACCATCATTTTGCCTCGTGTGTCAAAACTGGCCTTTGGATGCCCTGTGACCTGCCCTACCCCTCACCTGCCTACCTGTACCTGGGGCCACACTGGCTGAAGGTGGTGTCCCAACAGGGAAGGGGCCTTGGGGCCCAGAAAACAGCAGATGCCTCCCTGTTAGGTTGGCCTCACACCTCCCAGGAAGGAAGGCCAGGCCCAGACGAGGAGGGTCTAGGCCCCGCTCCCAGTCCCAGCGCTGTTCTGCTCCCGTTGCACGCTCTCTGCTCTTCATGCCGCCTCCGTTGCTTTGATGGGCAGGGGGTAGGGGGGCAGGGCAGGGGCTCCCCATTCAGAAATACGTGCTTGAGACCAGGAAACGTTGACCATGTCCCCTGTGCCCCCAGGAGTATGAGCGGGCCTCCAAGGTGGGCCAGTTTGTGACCCGCTTCCTCCTGCGGGAGATGGTGAGCCAGCTCCAAGCCCTGCAGAGCTCGTTGGAAGGGGCGTCAGATACCCTGGAGGCCCAGGCCCGGGGCCCACGGTACGTGAGGTGCCCTGCTGGTCGCCGTCGCCACATTCCGGGGCCCTCGGCTTCCATCACATTCCATAGCTCCGGTATCCCAGAGCTCACATTCTTGTTGGCAGGGAGGCCAAGAAGGGGTGAGAGGGGGTGGCTGGCTTTGAGGCTGGGTCTCAATGTCCCCGGAAGCCTGTTTTGCCCCACCCAGGCCTGGCCCTGTTCTGGGGCCCCAGTCCTTGGCCTGTGGGGCTGGGAGCAGCGGGTCGACCTTCCACTTCCCTAGGTCAGACAAAGACAGTGTGGGGGTGCAGAGCAGGCCCCACGGCAGCCGGCGGGCAGGGCGCAGGGCCCTGCGGAGCATCGGTCGGTCACCCACCTGGTCTCCTGGCTCCTCCGCCTCGGACACAGGTGGGCCTGTGGCAGCGTGGGAGGTCTGGCTGAGGAGGGTGCCGGGCGGGCGCGGTGCCCACCCCTCCACCGTCCCTGAGAGGCTTCCCCACGTGCGGGGCTGGTGCCAGACGTCCCGCCATGGGTCTCCCACCCCAGGGCAGAGCTCGGGAGCCGAGATGCGGTGGCGGCTCCAGGTCAACCGTCTCCAGGAGCTCATCGACCAGCTCGAGTGTAAGGTGAGGGTCACGTGGCCAGTGCCCCAAGGGGGAGGACCTTCCTGGAATCCGCCTGAGCCAGACACGCTGGGGGCCCTGCCCACACTTTGCGTCCCTCACAGGCCCCCAAGCTGGAACCTCTGCACGAAGAGGAGCTTACCAAGGGGCCTGACTCGGTGAGTCCAGGAGAGGGACAGGCAACTGGGCATCGTGCCAGGAGGAGGTGCTCATTAAGTGAGGGGACTCACGGGCCTGCTGCCCACTTGGCCTCTGGGTTATACAGACGCCCTTTTCCCAGGCTGGTCCAGCCCTCGTCCCCCAGGCCTGTCAGGCAGGCGCCGGGCCCCAGCCCTTGCTGTGGGACCGTGTATAAGTCCTGGCCCCTCTCTGGGCATTAGTCTCTCTCATCTGCATCCCTGAAAGCTGGTCTGGGCAGCGTGGATGGAGGTTGGAGGGGGAAATGGTGGCATACTGCAGGAGAGGGGGACAGTGGCTGGATCGAGGCAGTGACCTTGGCCATGGGGAGAGGAGGATGGAGTCACGGATGCCGGGGGCTGGGTTGGGCAGGAGCTTGATCTCATGGCAGGCCAGCGCTGGTGCAAGTCAGGCAGGGCAGGGTCTTCCTGAAGGCCACATCCCGTCCCTCGCCGAGCCCTGCCTGACCCTGGCTGACCAGGTGGCCTCTCTCGCTAGCACATCCTCATGGCCCAGAGGCAGGTGCAGGTGGCAGAGGAAGCCCTGCAGGATTTCCACCGTGCCCTGTGCTGCTACGTGGACTTCACAGGGGCCCAGAGCCATTGCCTGCAGTGAGTCCCCAGCTGGCTAGTGGGCTGGCCAAGGTCGGGGGGGCGGGGGTGAGTAGGGCAAAGTGCCGGGGGGCTGGGCATCCTGGGCTAGGGCTCCCATTAGACATCCTGGCTGGGTGGGCAGTGGTGGTGGTAGCCTGGGCCTGGCCTGGCCATCTCTTTGGTCCCACAGTGCGTCTGCCCAGAAGATGCTGGACAATGCCTCTTTCACCCTTTATGAGTTCTGGCAGGATGAGGCCTCCTGGAGAAGGTATGAATGGTGTCTGAAAACTAAAATTTATTGAGTATGGGCCCTGAGTGAGTCAGGCCGCGGTCCAAATCATCCGCTGTCATACCCTGGCTGTGACTTCGGGAGGGTTACTTATCCCCTCCGAGCCCCAGCGGTGTCCTTTCCAAAATGAGAGTGGTAAGAGGTCCACCCTCCTGTGAGCCAAATGAGACGGCGGATGAAGACCTGAACGCAGCGCTGGCGGCAGGGTAGAGAGCAGGCCCTCGGTGAATTGCGCCACGGCCTGTGCCAGGACCCATGGGTTACGCTTCAGGTAATCCTCTGCGTGTCCTGCTGCAGTGTGCACTCTTGGCCCTAGTTCTCAGCGGGAGCTGAGGCTCAGAGCCAGCAGGAGGCAGGACTGGGATCTGAATCCAGACGGCAGGACTGGGGAGGGAGCGGGGAGCTCTCAACCAGGTGGTCTTGCTCTTTGGGGGACCAGCTCCCGCCTCAGGTCACTCCATGACCCTCCGCAGGCACCAGCATTCCGCCTGTAGTAAGGCCTTCCAGCGCATCCTCATTGACTATCTTCGGGCTCCGGACACCCTCACCACGGTGTTCTTCCCAGGTATGCTGTGGCCCCCAACCCTCTCCACAGCCGTACGGAGTGGCAGTGGGCCCCCGATGCCTTCTGATCCTCAACCTCTGACCCCTAGCCTCCTGGTGGATTATGAATAATAACTGAGCCTGACCTGCATAAGCCAAGGCCCTGGAGCTTCTGGACTGGTCAACTCAGCACCAAGACCAAGGACGTGGCCACTCTTAGACCTGGGGCTGGGCTCTCAGAGGTGCCCCCCACCCCCCCTCCCCCAGACCCAGCCGGTGGAGAGTCTCTCAGCCCAGGGATCAGGGACTGGGCTGCTTGCTTTCTGTTTATCAGTGTATTTTATTTGGATCTTTAGCCTCTGAGGCACTCTGGCCTCTGCCTGGCTCAGGAGGCTTGGATTCTGGTCCTCTCTGTCCCAGCCTTGTTGTGTGACACAGAGCAGGTCACTTCCCGGGTGGGCCTTGGGCTGTCTGGCTTCCTAGTGGGTACCCTGCTTTCTTCCTGCTGCCTTGGGGCCAGGCTTCTGCTCTTCCTCAACCAGCAGCAGAACCAGGGCTGATGCTCAGGGACACCCCCCCCCCACCAAACCTCGAGCCCTGAGGCTGGGCCGGATCCGTCTGCAGTGTGGGGTAAGGACCTGGGTGTCCCCACCACCCTCCTGGGCTGGCAGGCTCCCAACTCTTCCAGCACCTTCCGCTGCACCAGAGCCTTCTGCAGGATCCTGGGTTGGTTTGCATGTCATTTGCATATCATTTGCATGCTCATGCCCACCCACCCATACTCAGGGCACTATGGGAAGTCCCAAGGTGACCTTGCCAGGTAGCAATAATTTGGGCCCAGTGTCACCTGCTCCCCCCAGATACCTCTGAGCCCCAGCCCAGGACCCCAGCCCAGAGGCAATAAAGGAAGTGGTCACCTCTGGTGTTGCGTCCTCTCTCTCCCTCGGCAAGAAGGCCAGGCTCTGGGGCTGGTCTGTATTATCAGACCAGCCACTCAGGGCTGGCAACCTTTCTTTAGAAATCAACTGTTTCTCATCTTGGGCTCCCGTTCTCTCCAGATGCTGGGAACTTC